TGTTTCTGGGCCAACTCACTGGAGCTGCTTTGCCTGAGACTGGCTCATCTAACGAGCAGTTTTCTAAAACTTAACTCTCTTCTAAAAACTTTTGCATCTATTTTGCCATCTTGTGGCAATTTAAAAAAGTTTAAGAGACTGAGATGGCTCATAGGTTCTTACCTACGAGTGCCCTCGCTTTGCTGTGTAAACATGAGGACCAGAGTTTTAATCCTTGGCGTCCATGTAAAATCTTGGGTGTGGCTGCATGTACCTGTAACCCCATCTCTGTGAGGTGCAGATATACTGCGATCATTGGCGCATGCTGACCTTGTCTCAGGGTAATAAGGGACAGAGCAGATCACACGTGTCATGGTATGTGTGTGACCGTGTGCATGGGTGTGCATGCCTGTGTATACCTGTGTGACTATAACACAATTCACATCAAATTTGAATTCCTTTTAATAGATATTTCTGAAATATTGGGAACCCTCCCCTATCGAATCAATATTTTGATTTGACCATGCCTACTTCTGATTCTTCCCCGTGTGCATATTTAGACTGAATACATTTAGAATGCACCAAGCGAAATTTAATATTCTATATTCTCTACTCGCGTGGAAAATACCACACATATTTCTGAAAAAGTTTGAAAATACAGCATAAAGGTACTTCTGATAGGGCTTCACTTTTCTAAACAACTTTTTAAAAATAGTGAACATTGTGTCATTTCAAGAATGGCATAAAAACTACCCTGGGTAGCATTGGATATGTTTCATTTTCATCTGTTTTGACCACTTTACAATTTTTTTTAAAACTTCTATCATGAACCTTTAATTTTCTGTCTCTCTAGGAAATAAAACTACTAAGTTCGCAGTATGCTACACTAGATTTGTTGTTCTTTTAAAGATAGCTGATTCATACAGGAATTCTGGGTCACAAAATACGACATGACAATCCACTCAGGCTCCTCTGGCCCTCCGGCTGCTCCTCAGACATAGGGGGTGTACTCCTGCCTGGGGCTTTCATGCACACTCTTCCTGCGCTCTGCCCCTGCTCTGCCCCCAGAGAGCCCTGCCTGCTCTGGTCGCTGCTCAAATGTCAGCCTTTCCACCAAGACTTTCCTTGCTGATCCCACCAAAACCCATCATCTCACCGCACCAGTCCTCCTGACTCTAGCCTCTCCACTGCTGTTGCTCTTTTCATTTTCCTGTCTCCCTGGTAGAACGGGAATTCCAAAGGAATGGGGACTTGGCCTCTTGTTCACTGTGTCCCGCATGGTGACACCACAGGCGCTTGGACACAACGGGTCCAACAAATACCTATCATTTGAAATGATTGGGCACCAGAACCATTTGCATGCCAGCCATGTGCTCTGACTTTCAGGGACGCTGCCTGCCCCAACCCTGCTGCCCACCCTCAGCCTCCGTCCAAGGCCAAGGACACAGTGGTGTGGGCACATGGACTGTGCCAGATGACCACTCCAGAGGACCTCCCAGAAACCTTTCTGCTCATCTAAGCCACAGTAGCAACAGCTGCAATGTTCCCCACACGTAGTTACTCCCAGGTAGAAAATCCTAGGTAACCGTTATCTAGAGTGGAGGTAACATCTCATAGTAGAAAGAACACTGAACACATTAGGAAACTCTGCCTCTAGTTCTAGAGTCCCCATTTGCCAATTATGCAGCCTGAGTCACTTTATTTTTCTTGGGGTCAATTTCCTTTGGGCAGAAAAGCAGACAATTATGAATCGTGGATCCAACAATATAAAGGGAAAATGTTTGGTGACTCAGAGCAGTAACATGGAACTCAGGCAGGAGCGGGGTGGACAGTAACGACGTTCAGACTTGCAACCCCTATGCCACACATAAAGAGAGCATTATTATATTTATTTTATGCAAAATTAGAATGTATGTACTTAGCTTCAAAAGCAAGGAAATGGGACTGGATAGATGGCTCAGCAGTTAAAAGCATTCTCTGCTCTACCAGAGGACCCAGGTCCAGTTCCAAGCACCCAACTGGGGGACTCACAACTGTCTGTACCTGTTGCTCCACGGTCTTTGATACCCTCTTCTGGTCTCCTCAATTGCCCACATGCACTTGGTTTACATACACATACACAAGCATACACACACACACACACAAACAAACAAACACACACACACAAGTTTTTAAAAGTCAGGCTGGTTATGATGACAGATGTCTTTAATCCCAGTACTCAGGAGGTAGAGACAGAGAATATCTTTGAATTGAAGTCCAGACTGGTCTATATAGAGAGTTCCAGGACCGACAAGACTACATAGAAGACCCTCTCTCAAAAAAGCAAAAAAAAAAAATAAAAAATAAAAAATAAAAAATAGTAGTCATTTTTAAATAAAGAAAATAACATAAGTTGGGGCATTTTATACAATGAGAAGATGCACAGAACACAGATGTCTGGGTGTCTGTCTGAACACGGCTGAGATGGCTGGGTGTCTGTCTGAACACAGCTGAGATGGCTGGGTGTCTGTCTGAACACGGATGAGATGACTGGGTGTCTTCTACTCTCTCAGCTGGCTTCACCAGGCCTTTTTGCTTAGAGCAATGGATTTCTCTAAGCATCCCCACCCCCGAAAAAAACAAAACATAGCCCCTAGAGCTGGATTAACTATTTCATCTCATTGTTAACTGATGAGAAAGCTGCCTGCTGAATTCCTTGGCTTTCCAGACTGGGAGACATCCTGGAAGGAGTCACAGAACTTCTCCCTACCAGGACAATATTCCACAGACTCTCGCAGTTCCCAGTCCTTCTCCCTGGCATGGGACATCTCTTGGAGGAAAACCTAGTGCTTAGTACTCTTGCCACAAGGATGCTCCTGGAACAGCACAGGTCGGGGAGACCACTTATCATCAAAAAATTACCCCCAAATCCACTCCACATTGCCATTTTCAAAACAGTTCACGGCTAATGAAGAGGCTATCCTTGGATGAATATTAGCCACAAGTGACTCATTTCTCCCCATCCCGACACACCCAACTGACACGGCGACCACGGGTCCAGGCTCGCTACTGGTCTGTCATTAACATACTGATGTCCATGAGTTGGTTTGGGAACCAGTCATGGAAACGGGGGAGGGAAGCCTCAGGGTTTATGTCCTGACTCTCTTAGCATCTGGACCCCTTCTGGACTAAATTCCCCACCGTAGCATTACAGATATTTGACTTCTTTTGTAACTGTTGTTGTAATCATTGCCAAGTACCCACACAATATAAATTATCATTCACTTACAGTTTTATTTACAGTGACTCTCACTTTTTCTTGAAAGTTAACTTTAAAAGCAAGATTTAGCTCTCCCCCCCTCCCCCCGCCACTTCGAGCACAGTCATGAACCAATTCACCAATTCAGGATAATTCCTGAAGCTTAAAAAAGGGAAGAAAGGAAGCATCCGTTCTGTCTTTTCTGTATGAACCAGATCACCAGGGAACAAGTGAGGGGAAGCCGCTCTTTGCAGAAGCTTTGCAACTAGCACACACAAAGCAGACATTCCCATCTTATAACCTCCCATGAGCGAATGGACTTAGTGCTGAGCATCTGCCAGGCGAACATCACCAAGATCCTTGAGCATTGCCTGTCGTGATGACAGACAGCATCCAGAACCTAGGGCCACCTACAGATTTACTTAGGGATGGAAACTGAGTCTGACCAATCCTCTAGACCCTGCTGCCAATTCGCAGAAAAAGCAGGGGACAGAGAAGCATGCAGAGGTGCCATGAGACTGCAGTAAGCAAACCCCAGACTGAAAACACTTCAGACCAAATAGACCGGAATTTTCAGCAAGTCAAAGAATGTGACCGAAGGACTTTGAGACTCACTAGATTAGCAACAAAAAGTACACCAAGTTAGATGCAGAATACAACAGGTACAACAACATCCATCCCGTCTCACCTAGAGGGTGAGATTTAAAATCTGTGTAGGTTGAAAGCTGGAGGGTATAAGAAACCCTGAAAGCATCTTGAAGTCTCAAGGCCATTGGTCTCTCACAGAACCACATCTGCAGGAATGAACTCTTAATTTGCACTTGTGTTCTGGCGTCTTCTCCTGGGCAATGGAGGCCAACATCTAATAGGACCAGGGAAGGGAAGGGCCCACTGAAGTGACATCTTGCTCTTGCAGGGGCAGAAGCAGAGAAGGCATGAATGCTTCTAACTCATCCTGGCAGTCATGTTCTGAGCTCACCAGCTCTTGCTGATGGAGGTGGGTCTTGTACCTTATCTGTTGATTTCATTGGTTAATAATAAAGAAACTGCCTCGGCCCTCATAGGACAGAAAATTAGGTAGGCGGAGTAGACAGAGGAGAATGCTGGGAAAAAGAAGCTGAGTCGAAGGAGTCGCCATGATGCTCCCACGCCAGACAGATGCAGGTTAAGATCCTCCCTGGTAAGCCAGCTCGTGGGCTACACAGAATATTAGAAATGGGTTAGAACAATATGTAAGAGCTAGCCAATAAGAAGCTGGAAATAGCCAGGCCAGGCAGTGTTTGAAAGAATACAGTTTCCGTGTAATTATTTCGGGGCATAAGCTAGCCATGCAGGCGGCCGGGTGCCGGGGACGCAGCCCTGCCGCTCCTATTTCAACATCTTGCCTACGACCCTGTGCCCAGCCTCAGATGTACTTTTAGGACAGTGAAGGTCCCAGAACCTGCAGAGATGTATGAGTGCTCCTCCCAAGACCTGGGATGGCTGACTGTAACTATCTAGAGTTCATCTCTCCAACTCACCCTTTAATGTTAGAAAAGGCTTGGCTTGCCTAGTTATAAAACTATTTGACTGAGTTGGCTCAGCATCTACCCTGGGGGACAGCATTCAGGGGCAACTTTGAGAATTGTCAGCTGACTTCTGTGGGGCCAGCATCCTTCAGCTTCCACAAGGCAAACTGCTCGGGTATCACCAAGGACCCAGGATCTCCTTGGGATGGCTACTGTTAAGATAGCATTACTACCCAAAGCCTATGGAAACCCAGAGCACTGGACCAGTTGCCTACCATGGTCTGGAAGCAGGAGTGGAGCTGAGTCAGGAAGGGCGGCTTCCCAGGCAGGGCCAGCACCCGCTTCTCCACCATCGTGCACTCCACATCGTCATCTTGGATCACCACGTCTTTCTTCAGGATCTTCACGGCATAGAGCTCATCTGTGCCTTTCCGCTCCGAGAGCATGACCTGCGAAAGACAGCCATACGTCAACACCATTAAGAGAGGCCTTGGGGGACAGCTGTGGGTACCCAGAATCCAAGCAAACCCTTCTCAGCTTTGGACAGACATGCATACTGCTTTGCAGCCACCTCACACTTTGAATGTCTAAGTCCTATCAATGGAAGATGGTTCTAGAAAAGATGAACGTGTATTGAACGACCTTTGGGATATCCGTCAATAGCAATGCCATTCAACATGGCTGGAACGATAATCACCCTTCGGAAGTAACTATCTAGACAGTTTCACTGCCTGTTTTATTCACTGGTATAACTCCAAATCTTCAAAAGTACCAGACATGTAGTAGATGATCAGTAAATACTAAAAACACAAGAATCAATGAATGATTTATCAGCTTGGTAAAACCAGATTTGAGTTGATATGCCATGCTTTGTTGATACCTGTGGAAGGCTGGTCCCTTTCTAAACAGAAATAGACGATGAGAAGATGGGGGTTGGATGGGGGGAGAGAATAGGAGTAGAGGAGGGAGGGGAAACTGCAGTAAAATTAATAAAATAAATAATAAATAACCTGGGTTGGAGACACCTACTCCTTTATTCCCTCAGTGTGCACTGTTCTGCATGAGCCTGCTAGGAATGCACCAAGAATCAAGCAAGCACATTCCTTGACCCTGAACTCAGGGAGGAAGAGAGATCAGACAACTACTTATAGGAATAGTCAATGCACTGTTTCAACAGCCTCACCTGCAGTCTTGGGGTGTCTGCCTACAAGCTGTGGTCAGAAGCAGGGTCAGAAAACATGAGGGCTTATGGACACAATGTTATTTTCATTATGTTGTTATTATCTTTGGTCTTGACCACGTCAGAGGAACTATGTCTGGTGTGTGAGATTCTCAAGGAGATTCTTGGGAAACAAAGACTTGGACCATATTCAAGGAGACATGCTCTGTCGGGCAAGGCCTTCCTGAGGAAGAAGTGATCTCACTGGCCTATTTGCTAAAGGTATTATGTTATCTGCTTTGTAAGCAACATTCATTAGTACCATATATTTTTGAGGACTTACCAATGTATCAAGCAATTATTGGTTTTTGTTTATTTCTTATTTACTTTGCATAAGATTCTAGGAAGCAGACACTGCTATGAACCTGAGAAGAAACTGGCATAGAAGGCTAAGGAGCCTGCCAGGGTAGCACTCAGGATTTAAACTCAGGCTTACATGGTCAAAGTTCCTGTTGCTATTCTTTCATTATTATGTGTGTTGTGTGCAGATGCTCACATGCCCCAACACACATGTGGAGGTCAGACGATGCCTCTCAGGAGCTGGTTTCCCTTCTGCAAGGGGTCTGGATACCAAATTCACATTGTCAGGTTCGCCTAGCAAACGCTTTACCCATGCAGTCATCTCAGCAGCCCAAATTTCCTATCTTTAAATGTTTCGGAAAAAGCCTCAAAGAAGTTGAGAGGTTAAGACTACATCTCCCGACACAGGTGAACAAGAGAATGCAACAGAGACTTGAGGTTAGATGGAATAAGGATGGGCACCCAGAAACTTATAGATAGGTCAGCATACCCACTCAGCTCTTGTCCTAACAGAAAACGGTCAACCAGACTCAGTCATGGAAGCTTCCAGATTCCTGCATCCGCACACTAAAACTCTCAGGCAGAGCTCAACGGCTTTCTTGAGCTCACCCAGCCTCTTGCTTCTACTCTTGTCTCTCGCCTTGCAGTCAATGGTGCTCACGGGTGCTATAGATGTGGGGCTGTGTAGGGTGCTTTAGGAAGAAGACTTCTGACACACGGTTCTACAGTGGGCCTGTTCTCTGCCTCTGTCTCCAACAGAACTACCCTTCTCAGTGGATGGCACCTATGTGGCACTGTCTCAGCCCTCAGAATAGCCACTGGCTTAGGTGGCAATCTAGCTATAGGGTCAGGATGTCCCTTCGTGTACTTCCCATCCCTGTCTGTTCTTTACACGCTACTCACGCTCCCAGCCCTTGCCGAGGCAGGGATGATGACCAAAGGAAGCCAATGTCCCAAGGCAGAGAATCAGGAGGAATTTCCTGCTCTCTGGCTGCAGAGAAAGCTGGGATGGAAGAGTACAGGGACCAGCAAGGTGATCTGGATTGGATGCAAGCGAGGAGAGGACCAGGGATGGGAGGAGAGCCTACACCTGAGAGGTCAAGAGGTCCTGTCACACTCAGACCTTCGTTTACATTCCCCAAGACCCTCCCATCTATCCTTAGTGGAGGAGCAGGGAGTGGCAGCTTCCAGGACGGTGGGATGACGACACAAATAAGCCACCTCACCTGTCCTCATGTGCCTTTTCCACATTATTCTCAATCCCTAAACTGACATTTACTAACTGTTTTTTTAAGATTCTAGTCACGGCCTGGCATATCCCAGGCTTTTAGGTAATGCTTACATGGGAAGCAAAGGCAGCAAAAGTAAAAATTCAAATAATTAGTCAGAGCTAGCAATGGCCATGGCCACATTCCCCTGTATTCCTGAAGTGAAAATAAATCTCTTATTAATTGCATTCGAGGAGCTTTCAGAAATTTCAATACCGGCACAGAGGACGTGGGTTGTTTGCCCAGCTGTCCCTGCATCTCCAGGGTGAGGATTCCACGCAGAGCGAAAGGATGTGTAGAAGTAACGTTCTTATCAAATTCCGAAACACATCTGTTACCCCAGAATCTTCAGGGAGGGATGCGATAAATAGCAGAACTCCGGTGACAGCAAATAAAACAGAGGAAAGCAGCCCAAGGACTCCCTGGTGGGAAGCTTGTGGGGGTGAACTTTGCTACTGGATCCCAAAGGTGAGGTGTGCCCAGCATCCTGGACTCTGGCCACGGACTGGGTAGTGCTTTGCAAATGGTGAATATGTGAATTTGAGAATTAGAATGCCCAGGATATATCCAACATTGGCTAGAAGGTAGCTGTGCGACACTGGGAAATCCACTTAGCTTTTCTGAGCCTCAGTTTCCTAATCTGTCAAATGGACTTGCCAAAACCCCTCAGCCGGAGGTCTAGAGAACCATACAGGGCACGGTGTATGTAAAGTGAAACTTGACTCGGCACTGTTTGGCAAACAATGAACACTTAACACCCGGCACTGGACTGTCTCCCAGAGTGGGCACAGCAAAGAACAAAGAACGAGGTGGCTTCGAACAACAGAAACATGTCCTCTCAGAGTTCTGGAGGGTAGCAGTCCAAAATCAAGACGTTGGCAGGGTCAGATGCTGGTGAGGACTAAGGAGGAATAATTCATCCTGTGCTTCTCTCCCGGCTTCTGCCGGTTGCCAGCAACCCTTAGCACTGCTTGGCTTATAGACACACGGATTGCTCCAACTCCACCCCTTTCTTCACACTGTGTTCCTCCCTGTTGTCCTGTGTGTGTGTCCAAATGTTCTTACAAGGACACACTCCATTAGAGCCCACTCTAGTCCAGAGCACCTCAATTTAACTCAATGACGTCTGTAAAGACCTTATGCCTGAGAAAGGCCAGGGTTAGCATTTTTTTAGGAGAGTGAGAAGGAGGACAGTGGATAGGATTTGAAAAGTCTGTCACCTTTCCTGAGAAAAGCCCAGGGGGTGGTTAGTCCTTGATCCAAGCTCCCATGATCGCTTCTGACCAGCTCTGCTTCCACTCTTCTTACTCCCGAACCCCACATACAGGGCGCTCCACACAACAAATGATGCTTGAACAACTAACTGCAGGTAGCTCATAGCCCTCCACTTTCAGGAGACCCCCCCCTGTCTTCCAATAGCATGTAGAACAAAATACCCTTCTCCCCAGGCATTCAAGCATCTGCTCTCTGACCTCCTGATGGCTGGTCACACTCTGCAGGGACCCCAGCAGGGTCCGGACTGCCTACCTTGTCTAAGCATGCAGGGCTCTTGTCACAGACACCACTTCGTCTCACTCCACAGCTCTTTCCTTTTGTGTGTGTACATACGTGCACATGTACCATGTAAGCACATGAGTGCGTGTAGGTGTGTTCGCCCATGAGTATACTTGTGGACACCAGAGGCTGCCTCAGGGATCTTCCCCCACTTGTTCCCCACCTTATTTTTTGAGTCAGGGTCTTTCACACCTTTGGCCTGATTTACTGGATGCTGAGCCCTAGAGATCCAAGCTCTAGGGATCTGCCTGTGTACACCTTCACTGCTCACCCCATGCTGAGATTCCAGATATTTTGCCGTAGCTCCGATGTCTAACGTCCAGTCCATGGTCAACAACAAGCCAATATTTGTTCACAAAGTGAATTAACAGATCTGAGTGAGGAAAAGCAGCCACAGCTCCCTAGATCTAGGTCACCGTATCTGGTTTCTCTGAGCTTCAAGTGCTTAGAAGTTGGTGTTATTTAATGTGTGTATATGACTTCACTCAACCCATATTTCCCAAGGAACCTGATAAAGTATTCAAGATTATATAACATAAACAAGTGAATTGTGTGACCCATAAACTATACCTCAAGACAGATGGTTAAAAGTGAGTACACATTATATGGTCAATACTTATGTCTGTGTATTTGTTTATGGGTACATGTGTCTATAGTAGATACTTTAATGCATGATTTTGTCTTCCTTTTCTCTTCCCCCTCTCTTCTCTCCTCTTTCCCTCTTTCCATTTGTCTTTTCTCTCTCTTCCTCCTCTCTTTTTCCTATAAGCCAACACAACCAGCAACATACACGATGTAATGATGTTGACATTTTCTATAGGGAAAGTGACTTGGTTTTCGAGCAGAGAGACAAGCTCCTTCTGGAACTTAGGTATGATGACAAGTCCTTACTTGCGCAGACCTTTGCATAGCAAAGCTATAGTGGATGGTGTTCTTAATATCATGTTTGCCACAGGTCAGAAGAGGATGAGGAGAGAACAGCACACGGTAACTTTTTTTTTTTTTGATTTTTCGAGACAGGGTTTCTCCGTAGCTTTTGGTTCCTGTCCTGGAACTAGCTCTTGTAGACCAGGCTGGCCTCGAACTCACAGAAATCCGCCTGCCTCTG